ACGCACTTGTGAAATACAATGTGAATCTAAGTAGTTTTGAATAAATCATACAGTCTTAAATTGAAAATGCACATATCAAAAATACTTCTGGCCATTATATTTGCTTATTTATATGGAATCTAAAATTATTAGTGACAATGTATTGAGAAAATAATCTGGTGCGAAAGAAGTTATTGATTAGGGGAAAGAGTATACAATTTAGTCGTTCAAAGAGTTTATTAGGCTGTTTTCAGTTCGGTAAGAAACCATTCCAGGGATTACATAGTTAACATACTTCACTCTGCGAAACTTTTCTACAGATAAAGTTTATTGATTGTGTATGATTGTTCATCTCATTTCATTCCTCAAAAACGAAGGTATGAAATGTGTTAAATATTTTCAAATACAAACAGATATCAAAACAAAAGCAACTTTTATATACTTGTAGATCTATTAGACCAAATCAGGTTCTTATAAACATCAAAGGCAGCTGAAACATTATACATGTTTTGTAGTGTCTGGTGGGAAAAAAAAGAAAAAAAGACATTTGGAGCTTTTGATATCTAATCAAAAACACCTTAGCATGAAAAAAAGAAAAAAAGGTGTGCCCCCCTCAAAAGGGGGATTGAGCGTGCAACTTAACGGAATGAAATCAAAATTGGCAGCCAAACTGGTAACTACACTTATGGCATTGATAAGACTTTTTTGCAGGTACTTTATCATTATTATTACATCTAAGGTGTTTTTGATTAGATATCACAGCTTTTTGTCAATACACACCAACAAACCACAGCACATAAGAAAGTGACACTCGATAGTAACTAACATTAGCTTTAGGCTCCCAATCCTATTATTTGGAACAGACCTATATTTTACAGGAACAACGGAGTTCTTTAAAATATATGGTGGTAGTTTTTTCTCTCTAAAACAGCTGTTTTCATCCCAACGACAAGAAACTAAAAATGGTCCACCTTTAATCTTAGATGAAATTGTGCTAAAAAGTTCAGGCTGATAGCTCTCGTGCACCAAAATTTGGAGCAAAATTGAGCTGTTTTTGTTGAATAACTTTGGACATGTGCCTTGTATTCAGACCAAATTTGACACATAATTTGGGTTATAAACATCTCTCAGTGTACCAAATTTGAAAAAAACTATCAAAGTTAAGTATGTTTGTTTATCAAATAACTTTTCAGTGTAATCGTTTGGAAGAAAAAAAATAGGAAGAAATTCAATGAACATTGGAGATTTCATATCTGTGTGTTTCTTACTGGATTGCCTTGAAATTTGGTATGTGAAATAAAGGTCCACTAGAGCACTGCCACTGAAAATATGGGATAGTTTGGATTACCATAGTCTAAGCTTCATAAAGTGGAAAAACTGCTAAACTATCACTCCTATTAATAACCAGCAGTATGATCTGCAGGTTGTTTTGGCCACACAACACACTACTGTGTGTCTTGATATTTGTTTTTAAATAGGTGTCGTGTATGAACATCACCTCCATATCTAATCAACGGAAACTGTTTTCCTTAAAAAGAAAAAACTGTTACATGTAAATTACAGAATATGAATATTGGTGGTAGAAGTTCTTTCAAAACAGGCCTACAAGAATCTTGATAAACCAAAGTAATTCGCAACAGACCTATGATAAATTTGTCAAATGAAGCAATCAAGTTATTTCAAAAACTGATATAGCTTTAATGTAATGTCAAGAAGTTTCAAATTGGGACTTCATCCAATTATTATGTGATCAAATTGAAGGGGAATTTGACATTTTTCATTTTTCTAGCTTCTTACAACTTATGGGGCAACTTTTACTTACTAGGTCCTAGATGGTTTTAAAGGCCCAAAAGTACCTCCACTCCTGGTGGTAAGAACGCAAAAGATTATAAAGTGACTAACATTTCGGGCATGAAATTATTCCTCAGATGAACAAATCCAACATATAAATTTCTGTTCTATTACACACTTTTCAAGAATGGGATGTCATTCAATGAAAAGAATTCACTACTGATGAAGAAATGTAAAAGAATCTTGCTTATACAAGTCTTCCATACAATTCCAAAATAGAGAACTAATTTTGAATCTTGTACATACTACTCTCATTACAGAGGTATATATACATTAAAAACAGCTCAAAATTAATATTTATATCCTTCCCTCTGTAGTATTCTGGGTTTGGGGATAAGAGAAAACACAGTCACTTAATCACTGCAATAACTAGAACACCTATTAAGTGTTATGTTCCAAATTATGCTCAAAAACTAAAACAATAAGCAATCTCTTTAAACAAGTAATTAATCAATTAGTTTTCACTTAATTTAACAAAAATCAATAATATTTTTCACAAATATGATGAAATATTAACAATACAGATAAAACGTATTTGACTTTTATAAAATATACATTTAATTCTAGTTGGTGTACATAAGGAACACAAAGTATTCTAACTCACAAAAAAAAATAGATTCTTGTCTATACTGTACAGTACATGTTACAACTTTATACATAACTATAAACAAGAAAAAAGTATTTTTTTTTTTTTATACAAGTTAACAAAGAAAAATAATGATTTGGAGAAGAGTAACAAAACGAAAGTAATTTGAACATAATCAGAAACTAATACTAAATCTGCATTTACAAGCAATATTATTAAAAACATTTAGACAAACACCCATGTCAGAGAAAGTTCAACATTCTTTACAACACACAGTTCAAACAATAGCAATTCTTACATGCATCAGTTTTTAATAAAAGCCAAAAATAAAATATACATAGTAAATTTAAACATCAAACCAACTTACAATATTCACATTAGATAACATGCTGCTATACATAAGTGAAGCACTGTGGATAGAGGTTTTAAAGTACTTTTCTGTTTAAATATAAGAACAGCATTTGTTTAAACTTTATTTTTCACATGTAGCAAATTTCTATAAGTTTGATAGCCTTTATCTACTTGATCATGTTCTGCTATATTTTTCAATTGAGTTTCTAAATGACAAGTTTGTCTTTTGTGGAAAACAAACAACAAACTATCACTATGATTTAAAGGAAAATTCCATTATGCACCATAATACTCATTACAATTTGTGCCACACTTTGGTAGATTAAGTTCTATCCAATTATACACACTTGAGTGTATGTACATTAATTATCAAGATGAAAAAATAGAACTAAACAATAAGCCAAACTTAAGCAACACAGACACACCACTTTAGTAAACTGCTATTAAAGTGTAATCTTGTAATTAAAACATCAACATCCCCGAGCCTCTTTCTTGTAAACCCCCCAGGGGTAATTCCAGTTTTAATTTTTACACCAAGCAAACTATACAGTATTAATCAGCTTGCTTTAACCATTAGAGGGCCAAATGAACTGCTTTTAAGAGAATACAAATGTGTATTTTCTTTTTAACTTTAGAGTTGCACATGAATGACAAAATCCATTCATCCAACAAAAGAAAAATCTTGCAAAAACTTGTATACTTCTTAATCATTAATATCGTGACACTAAAACAATATCCACTGCAATGTGAAAATGACTATACAAATTACTTTTTTATAGTTACCATTTTGAGTACATATATCAATATTGTCAGTTACTGAATGTAATTTATCAGTTTACATTTCTTGATATGAAGCTGCATACTTAAATAAATTCACAAAATCCATTTGTAGCTATTGAATGCTAAAACTGAAACTGATTTCTATATATCAAAAGTTTGGTAAACAAGTCTGACATACTATAATGCCAGGAAACTTTCTTTCTTGTTGTATACTAGTTGTTATTAAATTAAGTTTTTGGAAAAGGACTTCCTTAAAAAATTTCACTAATGAATATTACTACAACAATGAGTTGACAAACCAAATTCAAAGGAATATGGGGGGGTGACTGCAATTGATTTGTTTTTATAACAACTTGTCATGAGAACTACTTAAAACAGGGAAGTGTTTCTAAAGAGTGAAACAAAAACTATACAATATTGATAGAATGAAAACTTTACAATATTGTTACACTTATTATACAGTATTTAAGTAGAATAAAAACAAAACTTAGGTTTGATTTTCATAGAGGATGAATTAAAAAACGACTACATATTCTCTTAATATAAGCCATGAAAATGACTTGACTATATGCAAAACTATATGCGCATGCACTCACAAACACATGTGTGGGTGTAACAAGTTGTGTAAATATTATTAAATTGTTTACTTTAAATTGAATTTTAGATTTCTTCCTCACATAACTACATAATTCCAAAGTCACAATCAGATATAATCAGATGATCTGCAGACTACAAATTAACAAAGTGAAAACAAGCTCATACTCTCAAATTAAAAATAAACACAGAAAATCCCACTTATCTTAAAATTTTTAAAACAATTTGTGGTAAGTCATTTATCCAGCATGAACAAGGAACCGGTTTGCAATGGGAACTACACAAGATGTAGAACAGCTTTCAATTCCTGGAAGTGAACAACTTTGCCACACATTTTGGGATGTAACACCTGGCATTGCTGCTTCAACATTTTCCTCTGTATCAGTGGAACTATGAGAGGAAAGTTTAAAATGAAATTATCAATAACTGTAAAAAAAGATTTACCTTCTTTTTCAACAAAGTTATACAAGTACCTTGATCTGACATTTTAGTAGAGTATTCCTTCTATTTATATTTCTAATTCACAAGTTAAATATATCAGGTTTTGAAGTAAAGAAAAAATAAAGCATTAGTTTTTAAATACGTTATTCCAAATTACATTAAGAATATATTTTCTTCATTTGGTGACCAATTAAGAATTTCAAGTACAAAACCATACTCCCAAACCTAAGTGTTGTTTTACTAAGAGTTAAGCCCCTCTATTCATATTGTGATCATCTTGCATTAAGCCAACTTGTGTCAGCCAAACAACCTATTCTTTTTGTAAACACCAACCCTAAGTTATTCCTAGTGTACCATACTTGAGTAATGTGAATCATACACATTCTAAAACTAGGTAAATATTTATATTTATGCTTCATTATTCTTGGTGAGTACAATAATGTGAATGTTGAATTGTAGTAAGGAAGAAGAGATAGAGGGGGTTTCTCTGGTAGATTTGCTGAATATATTGATATCTCACAGCAAGTCAAGGTGAGAGGTTCTAATTTTATATTTTAGCTTATCAATATGTGAAGTTTGAGTTTTTAATTGATTAGGCACTGCTAACATTTTATGGTAGAAGTAATAAAACATAAGTTGGACAACTTATAGCACAGACTTGTCATTTGACATATGTACAAGAGTAGGTAATGAGCAATTGTTTTATATTTATTTTTGAACTAAGAAATTAAATCTTGTATAATATTAAGTTGATTCATTGACTACATTTGGATTCCAAGTGTAATGAAATACATTGATAACAAAGCAGTTTAATTAAATTTTGAATATAACTGTTAAAAGTCATTACATTTACATTTTTTCATCCACTCATGCACATAGGGTTAACTTGGCATGATTATGCATGCAATTAATGCTACAGAAGAAGATAAAAAAAAAAAAAAAAAGGCATGGAAGAGTTGTAGCACAAAATAAAAAATACTTTTGGACATACAATAACATTTGATATGTTATGGGTTTAGATGTCAGACTTTATTTATTAAAGTAAGATGAGTCTGCAGAACACCATTTTAGCTATATCCATGTTTTTAGTTGGTACTACAGGCAAAGAAAAATCGTGAAGAAATAAAACTCGTAATTGTTAGAATTAATCATAATTACAAAATGAGGGAACTTACTGTGACATAAATGCTATTAAGAGGTTATCCTGTAGGAGCATACACAATTCTTTCAAGATTAGTACTGAATAATTTCTCAACATTTTTGTAAATCCTTAAAGCGAAGTATTAACTGCTACATTTTTTTCTTAAACATTCCATTTGCAAATTATTTTCAAACTTAGTCTATTCTGGTAATGAAAGATCTTTTCTCATGACTACTTTACTTGTATATCTGTAAAATATTCTGAGAGTGATACTAATATATCTGTAGAATAACAATTATACATAAAAGATTCTTTGTCTTGAAAAACGATTTGCTGACAGTTGATAAGTTTCAGTAGTATAGACTCCCAATCAGTCCAATTATATTCAATGAAAGATCTGGCATATGATACATACATACATGTGTGTGAAGTGTACAAACTAGTATTTATAAACAAAAATTATATATATATAACATCAGATTCAACTACACACAGAAAGACTGGTGTCAATTTATGACAAGTAACCACACTTGTATTTACTTCTTTGAGGAAATACTTATTGCCGTGCCTTGTGATACAAAAGTGACATGACTAGCATGGCAATTGTTTCATGCGGTGTTTTTAAGTGAAAGACATTGCTCATCAGCCACCCTTAGTCTTTTTTCTTGTTTTCTAAGAGACAAGTGTGGCTTTCTTCAATTAACAAGCAATGTCATTGCTCAATTGTATATAAAATATTATTCAACTTACCTTGAAATGTCAGTTCCAGATGAAAGGGACTGATGCTCACAAACAGGAGCCAGCTGGCTAAAACGCCACCGATTAAGTAATCTCAGGTGTCTCACAGTACGTATAGACAACTTCCAAGAAAGTCTTTGTCTTAATGGATCAGGCAGACAGCGTTGTTGATTATAGATAGACAGTATTCTTTTTACAGTTGCACTAACAGCTTTCATTTCTTTTTCTTTTATCTGCAATTTCAAACAAACTAGAGTTTGAAAAATTAATACAATCTTACTTTCTATATAATTTCATTACAAAGACATTGGAGAAAATTTCAATATACATACATTCTAGCATTTATGCATTTGTTAGAGATGTAGATTACTAAGAATCGGAGATCTTAAGGTTTTACCATATACATTTAGAATACATCTTCACTTTTCTAAACAGAGCATTTTAAAGAGCTTTGGTAGGTCAGAAAGAGTAACAAGACATGTGTATTTCTAGTCTCAAAGTTTTCCATTATAAATTAAATTCTGGAAAAGAAATTGTACTAGTGATCTTTTTCAATTTCTATTTAGTAGATAATAAAATAGGTTAAACTGGGGGAATTTTAATTTTTCATTATTGTGAACACAAAATAAAAAAGGAGAAAAGAATGATAGAGAAAAATTAAAAATATATAATGGCTTAAATATAGCAGCCATTCTGTTAACTTGTATGAAATTTTTGTAATCAAAAGCTTTGAAAAAAAAATATCTAAGGATATTAGTACAGACTTTACAAAAGAAAAATCTTGGTTTCTCTAGGATCCACACTCAAATTTCCAGGACTCCAGAAACTGCCACACAGGACTAAACTTATATTTTTGTGCCTCAAACATACCTATTCTGTAGAAATTGCAACAGTCTCAAGATACACGATGTCATATTCAAAATACAAGCAAGTCAGATTCCAATAACCACACTTCAATTTTTTAAAAACTAAACAGATTATTTTGTTTATAATACTTAGAATATAATTTTTAATTAAGAGCTTTTTGATATTTTGATGTCTGTGTTTCTTGCACAAAGAACTTGAGAATATCAAAAAAGATTATCATCACATGAGGGACATTTTCTATTGAAATTTAATTAAGCTTTCAGGACCATTACTTAAAAACTATCCATTTTTCTAGGATTGAAATTTTTTGATCTCATTTTCAATGACTGTCCAGGAATTCAAAATCATCAAACGTACAGCAACTGCAGAAACATTAATGGGTTAGTTTTATGTAATGTTTCTGAAAGATTATGTCTGCTATACAGGTTTATTTTGTAAGCTGTTGTCAACTGACTTACACTGCTCATTCGTTTCATTTTCTGGGTGAAGTACATTATATTTAAAAGATTTTTTCAGCGAAATGATAATTTTTTTTTTTTATTCCCTGTAAAGATCCAAGTACTTACTTCTCTTTTTAATCTCAATAAAGTACAACCTATATTTATTAATGCATTTTGCAGTCTTACTTTAAAATAGAGCATGGAAAAAACAACAACAAAAGAACCAATAAAGCATATGCAAATTCAAAATGTGTAATGTGTCACTATTTTCTCACAAAGTTGTTGTATTATAAAGTTAGAAAAGGACATGACAATGTCATGAAATCATATGTACCTTACAGTATGTTCGAAGGTCAGCTATAAAAGCTTTCCAATTCCAAGTGTTGTCTTCTTGATTCTCTATCTCATTGCTTAGTACAGCTAGAGCTACAATACTCCGCTGGGTGGTAAGAGAGAGAGAAAAGCAAAATAAAATGTTTAATGAGTACATAAAATCTTAAAACAGGTAAAAACATTTCAAACTTAATGGAGAATTGTGGTTATATCTAATACTTACTACATATTTTACTTTATCTGATTCATGAGACTTTCCCATGTTTATTAGAAATGAACAACACACTAAATTTACAAATTGTATATCACGATCCATAAACTCTCCCCATATCTCTACTTAAATGAATTAAAAATAGGTGTTACATTTTTAGATCAACACAGAGCCATTTCAACAAAAGCAGATTTATTTAACAATGAAGAATATACCACTTGCTTGCATATAAAGCAGTCACACACCACTAAAAAATAAACACATTAACAAATGTTAATTTTTCTTACATAAATACAAAGTTTCTTTTGCTGGTTTTCTATACACTTCCTGTAAATCGACCTCTGCATGATGCCATATTATGTGCATTGAGATGATTATTGTATTTCCTCCCCCCATGCATTTAATGTTTGTTTTGCACAGTTAGCATAAATTTTATGTCAAGCCATTTTCATTAGAAGAAACCCAAAATATTTATACACTGCTGATCTGTAAAGTACCAAATGGCACCAACTATCATGTTATTGAATTTCAACTGGACTTAAGTAACATTTTCTGCTTGCCATTACTCTGAAACTCAAAATTTTATGAGCCATGTTGTACACACACACACACACACACACACATACATATACTAGCTGATGTACCCGTTCAATGTAAGGGGAAAAGATGGTGGGCCAGAACCCATTTGCATGTCTTTCAGCATCAATTTGTCTTCTTCACTTTGTTTCTTCAGGAGCTTCACTTGACAGAATCAAATGTTTCCCTCTGCTTCAGTTATCCTAATTTTTGCTAAGCTTTCTTGATTTTGTCGTGCCATCCATCTACATTTTTTTTCTCTTGCTAAGAGACATTTTCTTTCTTGCACTGTTTTTGACCTATTGTTAGTTTTATTCAGAATTTTGATTTAGAATTTATTTCATAGATGGTGTTAGAAGTGTTCAATTGAAATGAAAAACTAAGGTAGCTTGATGCTGTAAATATGTTATCTTTGAATTCAAATGTTAACCAATATCTCAAATCCCTAATTTAATATATAATGGTATTGAAAGAGTTTGTTGTAAATATGATCATATATAAATATAACAACCCAACTTGAATGGGATTTAAGACATCCACAGGAGAGTTGAGTATTGTAGCCACTAAGTCACTTTGACATCCAGTGTTTGAAATGCAATGTTAACAAGTATTAATTTAAAATACCATGATATTTGTGTTTTTCTGAATATTGAAAGAGCTTCCTTTAAACTTATTTTTTTTTTTAATTTTAAATTCCCAACTATACTGGTATTTGAACACGAGACTTCAGGTTTGGGCAATCTAAACACTGAGGCAATTCAGAGCACAAAATTAGTAGGGGCAGAGGAGCCAATGACCCCCCAAAATGCTGGCAGGCCCATAAAAAGTGTCTACTAGACAGACCATATGGCCCCTTAAAATAAAAAGCCATTAAAAGTTTGACTTCACATAAACTGATTTAAGAGTTTCTTAACCAAGCAGAGCTTATGACAAACCATGAATGGACCTTCCCAACTTTACAAACACTCGTCAGTCATGCATAATTCACAAACGTCATCACTATAAATGCCTGTGTATTCAAAGTAAGTGCATTTTGATTAAAAAGAATGCCACCACTTTGTCCAATATTCAAACTTTTTGTATCAGTATAATGGAATTGATATACAAGTTCATTTATAAAGTTTGAAATATAGTGACTACTTGAACTTTTATAAAGATGACTACTGTTTTCAATCAGGATGCTGCTTTTTTAACTTTTTATATCTGACACCAAGTATGCATCAAGGCTCACACATTTTAGAGATGTTCATACAAATTGTTTTAGCACTTTCCAAAAAGAAGCAAGTAAAAATTGCAAACTTGCAAGTTGTTTGGAGAATCTCCCTTACTGCATTTACATTGTTTGTAAATGTATATATAAACCAACTTTGCAGACTCCACTAGCCAAAAAAATACATAATATTACTGTTTTACTGATCATGCCACAATCAGAAATCACAGATTTCCATTTATTATAGTGCACAATCGGCCCAATTTCGAGTATGTACAGTGAAGTTGACATTTTAACGTTAAAAATTGTAAAGACTACAGAGAATATACTTTGAAGCTTCATTAAATTTGAAATGGTTAAAGTTATCAATAAATGTGCCATGAAAAAATCACAATCTTTTTTCCTTTTTTTATTTGAATGAATGTAAAATACAAATGGTGACTGACCTTATGGCTAGTACATGATTGATACATAATGTTATGTGACCTTTGTGAGAGACAAACAAATTGTTCAGGTTCACTACCTAAATTCATCATTCACTTCAGCCATAAGTTCAGACTTTTGTTATCTAAACAAAACTACACCATTTTCTAAACCAAACAAAGTTTTTCAACCAAAGGTCAAATAAAGTGATAGCATTTGAAAATTTTCACTTGCAAAGAGAGGAATCTTTAATTCAGTTACCAAAAGATTTTTTAAAAATTGGCTTTATTAAAAAATGCTCCTAATTGTATTTTTATTGCGTACGTAATGATCAACTTTCCAACCTTCAAAAAAGAAAAAGAAATGACAACTTTAAATGCATTACAATAAAGAAGGCCCACATTGTGCTGGTAGAATTATTTAAAATTTATAACCTCCCGGCTCGACACACATGCTTTCATCAAATGTGTTTCAAATCTCAGTACTTAGTGTCACTTCTGACATTTGTCTAAGATCACGAAACATTAGCTTTTACTGTCAATGGAGATATATATACAATTCCCTGTTAGTTACAGGTGCTATGGGCAGTTGGTTACGACAATAGCCCATCTTCATGTTTCTTGTTTTTCAACCACTTGCTCCTACTCTAAAAATCCAAAATATCTAGTTTTTCTCAACAGCAACCTAACCAGTCAGCAATCACGTTTTTCTAGCCACAACTAACTTTAAGGTATTTTCTTGGAACTATGCATATTCATAAATAACAGGACTGTCAAATGATGAAACGGAATGTTCCATAGCTGTCCAATTGCTTAGTTATTTTGTAAATATTTGTATATACTTCTTTACCATTTTCAACTTATGGTGACATCTCTGCCAGCGACATGCACAATTCAAACAATTGACAAAAAACCCCTATTGGAATGTAATAGGACATTTTAAATTTCTAATCACTCTGTTGTCCTTTTCGGTGACCTCCCCAAACAATGAGCTAATACACAATGCAGTACTAATAGGGAACCACATGGCATATCATCCCCCAAACTTCGTGGGAAAAGTCTCCTTAGATCTCTGAAAAGCACACAGTGTGTATTAGGTCTGTGCATAGGGTGCTGTTATTGACTGTTTGCTAACATACAGTACATAATCAAATGGGTGTGCTTCATGATGTACAGTGCACTGTTTTAACTTTTCTTTCATTCAGTGTATCAACTTGTGTAAATAAATGAGAAATAGAGATTGTTTAACTGATATTGTACAAATTCGATGGTGAATAATGTTTTGTGTTGAAAGAAAAAGGAAAAAGTACAGTGTCATGATTGTAAGCATACTTACAAATCAGAAGATTGTTGTTGTGAATAGTGGTCTGGGTGGTGTTATTTTTAATTTCTTGGCAATCAGTTTTCCATGATCGGGAAACTCAACAAATTCTACCAATTCCGATTTTCACCTGATTATGCAATAATCAGTCCAATTCCAACTGCCAGACCAATTATTAGTAAAACACTGCATAATATAAAATAATAACTTTAAATTAACACAAAATAATGATTTTAAAACAGGAATAATAATGCAATACTCATGATGGTCTCTCTGATACCATCTTCCACATCTATTTCTTTACTTAAGTTCACCAGGCATAGCAAGAAAAGCTAGACATGGGCTGCTATCATCCCTGGGATTAAGGAGGAGCTATCTAACATCTGTGGCCTCTCTGATATACTGCAAAATGTACCAGCCAACTCTGCTGAGGCAGAGAGAAGATTCGGCATGATGAAGATGATACAGATCATTTTGAGATATTGTCTGGGAGCCGATAGGATCACTGATCAGCTTCTGGTCATGCCCCACTCACCTTCAATAAGACTTTGATCCCATAAGAACTATCCATCTTTGGAACTCAGGATCACTTCACACAAAGAGACCAAATGCCAGTATGGTTCAGATTGAGAAGCAGATGCAGGAGTGTGACAAAGAAGGGGACAAAGGAAGAATCCAAGAAATGAATGTTGGAACATCACTGGATGCTGACACTAATGCATACTAGATTTCCTTTCATTATTTATTTTGATCAGGAAAGGACACTAATTTAAGTTTAACTCCTCATCATCTAAGACATTTTAAAGTTATTTGCATGTCTTCCATATGTTGCTAATTTGAGGATTTTGCTTATTACAAATTCAAATTCATGAATGACTAATTAACAACTGTTTCAGGGTATGAAAGAACTAATTACTATAAAGTTAGTGGTAATGTATATTGTATGATTTTTCCATCTTTCCATCAAAAGTATTTGACATTTTATTGACAAATATGTGTCAGCTAGATGGTAATGGATTATATGGGAACAAGAATAGATTGCACTAGCAGTGATGCAAAAATGTTCTTTCATTATTTATTTTGATTATTAAAGGACACTACTTTAAAGGGGAACAAAAAAGTTACTGTTATACCATGCTTTGGAGAGAAATTAAAGACCATATATGAAATAAAAATAATTTAAGTGGTTTGAAAAAATGAAATGCTTTAACTTTTTCTTTTTATGAAATACGAATTCACTAGAAAATAAGGCGAGATAAGTTGATATCCTTAGTTTCCTTTTAATTTACATAACGTCTGTTATTTAATTCAGTGATTTTTCTGACAACTTCCACTACATAGCACATTTTACAATGAACTATAGGATTAGCCTCTTAAAATCCATGTTTTGGGGGCCTAACTGGCTCCCTAAAGAGAAAGGTTATGTGTGAGCCTTGCAATTGGAGCACCACCAACAGACAGTGGCTTTTATATATAAACTGCATATTGCAATACACCACACACACAATTTATGTACAACTATGGGATCATGGAACCAAGCCTTTTATTTTATAATATGCAGACGAATAACTATGGCAGATTAAAAATTAAAACATAGTTTTGCATGTTTATTTTGAAATAAGCTATGTATCGTGTATGATATAATTTTATGAAATATCATTACATCACTAACTATTACTGTTTAAAATCTCTAGTCAAATGACACAATCACTATGCAATCACTGTAAAAATGTAATGAGAAAACAGTTTAGTGCTTATCACTTTGATGCACACAGATAATATTTCTTATCCGTTAAAAAAATCCAGAAATAGTGTTTTGTAAATTTTAATCAGTATACATGTTTTATTTCCTAAATAGCATCAAGTTTTGGCATCAGAGGCTTACCCATAACAGTAGGTCTGAGCCAACACTCCCCCAAGATCAACTACATATAACACTTCAGACACATATAACTATCAGACTTAGCCATAGCTCAAGTCTAAACACAACCAGTATAGTAGTTTGGTTCTTTGTGCTCACTGCATGCTATTGTTTGTATCTATTTTGATGCACAGCAATCAGACATAATGTTTGCCACACACTTGGAATTACCAGAAGTAATATCGAAGAAGTATTATGAGGTATTAGTCTGCATTTTTATATTCTCAGACAATAAAAAAATTTTCCTTTAGTTAGAACATCTGCTTCAAAATACAGAATTCTGTGTAAATGTAAGATCTGTGATATCTGTTTTCAAAAATATTATTTCAGATAGCAAAAGAACATTAGAAGTTAATTATACAGATTTTATTTGACCTGTAATTAAACTGATTTTTTTCAACATTTTTCTCAGTAAAATAAGGTTAGATTTCATAAATTTGTTCAAGTTATGGTAACCATTACAATTTTTTTTAAACTGTGCTTTCTGATGTTACTCATGCCAGTACCAAATTTAATTGTATTAAAAATAGATTGGAAGGGAACCAATGTGATTTGGTAAAATCCATTATAATCTGCTACCCGAGTTTCATTCTAGTTACACATAGTTTCAATTCTTCGAACTTTAACAAAATGCAAATTTCACTGTATTCTATGTTAGAGTGTAACTTGCCTCACAACAATGAGAGGAGAATATAATAGAGCTTTTATAGTGACACAGCAAAGGCTTTTTAAATAGTTAAGAATAAATCATTTAACATTGTTCTTAGCTGCCAAATCTTTCAGTAGTAGAAAAAAAATGTTGTAAATTAAGTTTATCTTATTATCACAATGTTTTTTTCACTTGAACAATTTACAACTTACCTTAAGAGAGACACTCTTATGGTTGCAGACCACTACTTCAAGTTTCTGAGTACATTCTTTTAGTGAAAATGTACTAACTCCCTTGCTGGTTATCTGAATAGCACAGCAGTATAGTGCATAGAACAGTTCCAGGAAGTCAAGGGATGTCAGGGGTTCCTGTTCCCAGTCCAGCTTCTGGATAATGATTCCTTCCATTCGCTGCAAGTCTCTTGTGCTACAAGTAATCTGGCTGATCCTGATTAATTCTGAAGGAGGTATCTTGCTAGTTTCTTCCATCCATCCCATACAAAGGTGCAAACAGCTTAGTGCAATACATGATAGATGCTTAGGTTGAGCCTGAAAGTTCAGTATAAGTACATAAAGTGAGATATAATTAAGTCTCCTACAGTACTTACTGACAAATTCTTCAAATGTTGACAATATAAGTAGAAAGATAAACACCAGATATGCCTTTTATGTTTAAGTTAAAAATTATTACTAAAATATAATTGAAATATGAACATGACTAACCTAAGCTGATGGTCTAAAAAACAACAACAATGGATATATCTAAAGCTATTATTAACTGTATGCTTATATTTACGAGTCTTTAGACAAGTCAGCAAATATATAAATAAATACATGTATTATGGATCACATCAATTTGTTACTATCATAACAAGCCAAGCATTAACAAAATCTACAACAAATAGTAAGCAACTACAATCCATGTGATAACTATGGAAAATTTTGAAAAGCAAAAACAAAAACTGGTATTTAGAACGTTAGGTTAATGAAGTCTTCTGCAAAATCGATCAATACTTATAATTTAATAAAGCTTTCAATGACAATCATATCAAACATTTATTCTCATGACTGTTTTTCCTAGATGGCTAAAACCAATTTGAATCTCTTGTGGATGATAACATAATGAATAGCTGTTTACATACACAAAAAAACAACAACATATCCTACCTTGACTTTTTCAAGAAACAGGTCCATCATCTGAACAGTTGTGACAAATACCTTTAATGGAAGATCATACCAAACCTTAAGACACTTCAAAACTTGAGTCACATTGTCCCTCATGATCCCAGTGACCAATTCTTTTCCCTATGAATAGAAACATATTGAATAATACTACAAATTATGAGATATACTTGATATGTGACTGGTAAAGAAATATGTGATCAACTAGGTTAACTACAAATGCTGGCTATCAACATCAGTCAAGACTAGCTCATGTAGTAGAATAACCAGCAAAGACAATATAGTTACTTCCTCTATAGACTGACGTTTAATGCACAGACTAGGTAGTATAAGAAAAGTAACTACCTAAAAGTGGATTTCTACAAATTTTATTGTATCTATTCAATACATTTAATAGAATATAAATACAATCAAAATAATAAAATAAGATTTTGAAATTGTTATAAAATTCTACAAGGTAACACATGCTCCCTCAATATATTCAGTCTAAGTCATATGAGGTTTTATCTATAACTTTTGCTTTATATTGCAGGCCTGCAGGAATGGATGCTGATACCATGAGAAAAATGACTGTCATACTAAGCTGAAACATTTGATTAGAATTGAGAGTCTATCTATAGGAAATATTATTTGTTGGATATGTCTTGGCTGGATTTTCACATGTGCTAGAATTTTATTTTTCTTGCTGACCCAAATAGCATATAATCCATCTTCAGAAAGATGCTAGGGCACAAAAATGGTTGTTTAAGCTGGTAAATACCAAATAATATATGGGAAAGGATACTTACAACATGTTTTGTAAAGTCTGCATCACAGGTTTCCATTTTTTTTTTAACAACGACTTTTTCTGTGCATGTCCTTGGGATTTCACAGTATGCTGAAGTGTGTTGGGCAGTTTTGACAGTTCAAGCAAGCATTTTCTGTATTTTTCACAAGATTAGGACAATAACAATTAGGATGCACACTAAGAAATATAATTTCATTATTTATGAAGGGAATCTGATGGTTAGTGAAGATAACATCAAGTAACTACATTGGTAGATATGGCCAACTGATAGTCTCAACCATTCAGAACACTTTGGTAACTTAAGTTGACAGACTGGATTCTTCAACTGTGTGTTTCTTGTGCCCTTAAGGGAAGAAATATTGCATATGTGTTTTACGTCCAAAGCCATGCATAGGCTTGAGTGCATCTCTAAAACCAAAGTCTATAACAGTAACATCATGTGTTTACATCCAACTTTGTCTTCAGCACTCCAGTATCATTATTTCTCTCATCAGCAATGTATAATTCCAAAACACAGACACTATGTATCCACCTGTAGATAAGATCACTCATTCAAGTTGTAACTGCTTTTTTTGGGATGACAATTATAACTTTGTGTGTACCTGTAACTGTTATGTAAAATAAGTGTTGCCATATCACCTTTCCCATCAGTTCCTTTGTCAAGGGGGGCAAGAATGGGTATCAATTATTTCTTGATGACTAATAAGCCCAAATACCAAATAAAATAAAACAAAGTCAATGACCAAAGCTATATCAACCAAGTGGAGTGTTCTGTTCATGGCAAGAGAATTCTTTAAGTCCAAATCAGTTGACAGAATTCTATTTGACAATTGAACAGGACAGTTACGTATGTCCCCACAGATCTCAAAGATAGACATCTGGATTCTAAGTCATCAAACTGCAATCTATGCAATCCTGTAAGATTGAAATAATCCATTATCTGTGATCTTGTGTGGCTGATCAATGTCTGTCTTTACCAATCTTTGTGCAACCATTCTACTGCTTTCCAGTGTGTTCATAATATCAGACCTGTTGGACTGTGTATGTGATCCTTCAGCTGAGGCTCAGTTAGTTGAATAGAGTTTGTTGAAAAACATTTTCCATTACGATGACTGTGACAATACCTTAATCCAACAAGAATAATAACAATAACAAATGATTCACTGACCTACAAATACCTGGATTCTGGCTTTAACTCAAACAGTTATGTTCCTAGGTTTAGGACATGTATAGAGTAACTTTTGCTTATTTTATCATAATGTTTCATTAGGTTCACTCCTTGACAGTACGTCAGACACATGAAATTAATTTAAGTAGATAAGAAAATCATGTGCATAATAATAATAATAATAATAAAAATGGGCTCATAAATCAATTACATTTGATTAGTAAAAAAAATGTGTGTGTATATGCTTATTCACTTTTTCCAATGCTGCATTATTCTAACAAAGTATTAACCTTCTTACTTTCATTCACATTGTTTTGGTTTTTTAAGTAATTTTTTGGTTATTCTTGGTTTTATATCATCATAGGTCTCTCCTGAAGGTTTCCATTTGCAGATTTTATGAGAAACATTTTTCAGTCTCATACTCACTATCACTGATAATGGTAATAACGTTTTTATTTAAAACATGCCTTGATTCCAATTAAAAGTAATTACGTAGCAAGCTAGCCTATTTATTTATGTTCATTGGTTGAATAGGATAAACAACAACAAAAAAAAACAATATTTAATAAAGATATGCATGATCACAATATTTTGCAATCCCATACTCACTAAACAGTAAACTTACTTGCTTTGATAACAATTTTATTTTACTTGGTTAACATCATAAAACCTCATGTTTACAAATATTGCAACACAATGAAACCATATTATAGTTATTTAAACAAAAAACACCTTTATTAAGCTTTAAGCAATCACCAGTCATGACTTCTTTGCTTTGTACTGTATATGTATTTCTGTGTATAGGTAAAGTACTTAAACCTGTTGACGACAAAACCTGCTCCAAACATTGTAATTTGTTACCGAGTTAAACTTTTAATAAAGTTTTCTTTGTTACTATCTCTAAAATGCATAAGTTTACTTACCTTACCTTAAGTTATCTGATGACTTTTCATTGAAAACACTTTGTTTAGCTTTCAAACAAATAATTTAAAGCATGAATACTTTCAAATTTCACAAATGAGCATTTACAGAAGCTATTAAAAAAAAACTCTTAAACCTATACATTTACCCTATTAATACATGATAGTCTAATTCTTGCTCAATCCAATCATAGTTAAACTTTTTTTATACTTGCCATCAAAGCCTTGTTTTTATTAGTAAGCAATCAAACTACTTGATGTGGCACCATATTAAGGTTTCAACCAAGAATGTACAAAACTAAGGGAGATGCTTCAAAATCAAGAAATGGATAATACACTCTCAAGGAGGTGATAGGTTCTTAGTAAAAATAGTTATTCTTTGGAATGGGCAGGAAAATTCATTAAAAATATATCGATAAGTATCTAACCTAAGAAGTTTCTAATTTTGCATTTCATTTACTTTTATTTACAAGAAATTTAGTACTTACTCAGATGTTATGCTTTAATAACCCTACTCTTTTCTCAATATGTTGGTTGACCAAAAAATAATTCATGGAGCTTTCAAATATGCATTAAAAAAAAAATAGAAAAGAAAGCATTAAAAATAGAATCTCCAAATACTACTATAATTTATCTGGCTTTATAACTTAGCTATAGACAGCTTAGAAAAATTCCACTGCTGCTCAAATACTGATTTTACTCAACACATCAAGATTTTCTTGCAAACTACCACCTTTGACCATCAAACTATTTTTCCTTGTCAATATGTTCAGTTTGTATTTAACTCTTTAGGTACATACTTTTTCCAGTCATATCAGGCTCAAAATCAGGTAATTCAGGTTCAGTCAGAATCATCATCAGCTTGCACAAGTTCAATTGTCTCTTCAAATGTGAAAACACTGGAGCATTTTAAGCAATTTTCTCATGAAAATTAAACAATTTTCAACTGCAAATATAACTGATGTTTTGAATAGCAACATATGCCATGTTAGACACAAATCAGTGGCCAAGATCATCTATGCAGATTAGGCTATGTCTATTGATTTTGTGTGCTCAATATGCATTTCTAGCAGTATATTCAAACCCCATTATGTGGTTGCCCTACAGCAATAGGCATGTCTACAAGGGTTAATGGTTAGGTACTAAAGAAGCTGTAAGACTGAAGTTAAGTGGAAGAGATTAGAGTGCAGATGTGACACATGACAGAAAAGTGAAGATTTAGAATTTTACATACTTCCTTTAGAACTTAAAAAACTAAAACTTAGATACTGAAATCTGAATCAGGAACTATGCTTTGATGCCAATTTATTGACATATATTGATAATATAGCTGTTTAATCAAATTGTGAATTTAACTCTGTAAAAGGCTTGTGATGTGCACTTTAACCCCAGCTCCCCACACGAATGGGGTTAATAATATAAAACTTATAGTCCATTGTTATTATAGGCTTTTTAACAGTATCTGAACAAGTAAGGTATCAAGTTGTGGGCTTTCTCTATAAAATAAATATTGAATGACCTTCAGTATATGGAGAAACCACTACATGGATCTGTAAAACAAGTAAATGGCTTACTTCAGTAATACATTAAAAAAAAAATGGTTATGCACCTAAAGGATTGTCAAAATATTATAATTTATGCACAAACCTTTTCTGCCTGAAAAATGCATGATTGGTAGCAAACACGCTCATCCTCCTTCAGAATCTTGTCTAATAAACTCCATGTCTGTCCAATTGTTCGTCCACAAACCTTCTCTCCTCCACACATCTCTATCCACTCCATTCCTTAGAGATTCTGGGCCTTCCACCCTCTCCAGTGTCTCACAAGCCATACTCTCACACCAATCGTCTGTACATGGTACTCTTCATGGTAAAATATCTCACTATTCTAATATTTAAACAATTTCAAATCTAGAAGAAATAAAACATATTTTAATATTCATTTGGACAAAATATGATTTTTGTATTTTATAAGTTAAAACATTTTAGTATTTGCAGCATTAAATCACTTCGTGTCAGTACCTCAGCAGATAATTTATTTTCAAACACTCGTAAAAGTGATCATGCGCTACTGTAGACCAAACTAATATGTGCAGCTTATTTTTTTCATTAACAGCATCTCATTCATTATGATAATAGAAACCAACTTTAGAAACAGTTTCATACTAATAAGTCACTTGCCATACAGCAATTTACTTCCAAGCTACATTGTACTCTACTGCAGTTGTTCTCAACGTGGGCCATATGGCCTCCCAGGGGGACACACCATGTTTCTAAGGGGCCACACTGAGTGGGCCACCAAAACATCACTGCTAGAATAAAATATTTCAAAAGCCCAAGCAAAATTCAAACGTGACAAACATTATTTCTGGATATGTAGTGAAAAAGCTAATATGTTTCCACAGCTCTAGGAGAAGGCAAAGATGTATTTTATCACTTTTCCCAGATTTTATTTGGTTGAATCTGGTTTTAGTCGGGTGACTTATTTGCTATCAAAAATAAGTAATGGCCTTATGTTATGAAGAGAGGTGATCTTCACTTATCACTGACTGCACTGCAACCGGACACTTAAAAATTTTCAAGTGTTCATCAGGCCCAAGGATCACACTGAATAAGATATAAATGATTAACAGAATATTTTTTACTTGTATAAGTAAACAGAATGTTATAAACAAAATATTTAAAAACAATATTGTAAAAATAATATTAAAAATCAACAGTGTGAAAATAAAGTAACTTTTTTTTCCTAAGTAACAGCATCTATGAAGGGTGGGGCCACAGAGATAAATTAAACTCAAAAGAGAGCCACGAGCAAAAAAAGGTTGAGAAACACTGCTCTACTGCATGTAATCCAAATGAAATGTGTAGTGGAAACATGATATCATCTATAATTTTTTACTACTATATTGCTTTTAATAATAAGCAGTCTTGTATTGATATAGATTTTACAGTGAAGTTTGAAACGTACACCTGAATGTTGTGCAGTTTTGAAAACCATACAGTATTAACAAATGTAAGTAGGATAAGTTGTATATTGAGGTCACACACATACCTCAGATAGCAAAAAATACAGTAGTCCATCTAAAGGAAAGATTTCCCATCTAACCAAACTAACAGGACACCCAACATATAACTAGCCATACTATATCAAAAGTTAACAACTATAGAAAATAAAACTGCCTGCTTACAAAAGACTAACTTCCAAAGTTTTATAATTACCTACCTTATCATATCCAAAGTAAATAGTGATCTGGTAATCCTTCCTTGAAGATTAATATTCTTCCTTAAATAAGGAGACCAAAATTGAACATAGTATGCCATATGAGGCATACATAAAGTGTTCTTCCACCAAGTAAAATTTTCTATAGTTAGTTACCCCCTTATGGACCTACTGTTAGGTTTAAATCATTTTTCCTTCCCTTCAACATAACAGAACATCAAGCAGACATACCTCAGCCACAGTTTAACAATACTTAAAATTTATCATTTCATAACTTCTTTGACTCTACAAGAACTTGTAACATGTCTCCTAATGATGATGGTAGATTATGTATATAAAATTGTGTGTAACGTGTGAATAAATATGTACAGTTTGTGATTACTGTATGAGGTGATATAATTTAAAAGTGTAAAAAAAATTTAAATAAACAAATTATGAAGTAGGAATGAGAGCACCAAAAAGTAAGGAAACAAGGTGGGAATGGGTAGGTAACATGACAAGACTTGGTGCTTTTTGACATGGTGCAACCTCAAAGTAGGTGTGGCCAATGTTCCATTCATTCCTACTTCATGTGCTTTTTGTAACTTGGTAATTGTTCAAACTAAATGAAAGGTGTATATAGCTCAATTTCTCTTTGTAAACTTTGTTTCAGTTGTATGAGGTGATATAATTTACAAGTATAAAGTGCTACTGTGTAGCACATCAGTATGGTAAGAAGAGATGAAAAATTAAAGTTGTAATAAATAGTTAATAATAATTTAATATTATAAGAGAGTGGCACATTTTCAGAGTTAGAAGAATTATCAAACACATTTTCAAAAGTGTATTAAGCATTTTCAGTCTGGGATTTCCTTCTGGTTGTAAGAGATATAAGTAGTAATATACAGAGCTGGCTGATTATTGAAATTTGCTAACTGATTTTTTTTCCTGTAAAAATAAATTTCATTTTCTCTATCCAAACACTGTTGACTTGGCCCATTTGACTGACCTTGTTCCCACCACCAAAAAATATGAAATAAATTTAAATTACCCCCTTTTTTGTTCCAATTACACTATTAACTTTTACAGCCTAATATAACAGATTTTACATTTAGTTTTTTTTTTATCATCATTTACAGTTGAAACTTACCCTCCCAGACTATGGCAATAGCTATTTATTACACTGAACAACTTTGAGTGAAAAATGGATTCAGTTACCAGCATATTCACATTGCATTACACAACCTTACTCATGCTTGGCATGTGATTGTCATTGATCATGAGTATTTTGTTTATTTCATTCAAAATTACCTGTAAGTTTCTAACTGTTAAATTTTAGTTATTTCTATAACAGATAAAAAATTTACATAAAAACAAGAAATTGAGTAATTACCATATAAGCCAGATTATAGGGCAATCTCGAATATAAGGTGACCCCCATTTTCAGAAACCACGGAAAAAAAAAATTCAGTGTCACATGAGCAATTTTTTAGGCCCGCAAAATCAACACTATGACTGAACAGTCTGCAGATAGATTAGTTGCAAGTGATGACTATGAGTGAACATTTGGCATGCATGCATGCATAGACAGATGCTATCTAGACATTTAGGAATCTGACAGGCTGGTGTAGGGGGGAATGGGTCTGTGGTCAGCCATGATTATAAGGTGGCTATGAATTTTATAGTCTGATTATTAACCCTTTTGCAACAGGCATCCTTTATTGTGCTTGTAACAAGGTTTGATGCCAAAATGTTAAATTCTACTTAGTCCAAGGCCATTAGACCCCATAACATTCAGTTAAGTGAAATCTTTACTTTCTATTGGTTACATATAATAGAACAGCAAAGAGAGAAATTATGACAATTTTTGAAAGCAGGATGCACTATGTATGTGTGAAGGCATATGGTCTTCACTTTATTGCTTATATCTCTGTAAAACAAAAAAAAATGCTTCTCTCTAAAGGGGATATGTACAGTGTAAGTGGGAAGTTCCATGTACAGTTACAAGGCCTTGTGGGGCAACAGAAAATTTAGAAATGAACAGTTTGGCATGAAGAAGTGTCATGTGATACAGAAAGTAAAGAGCAAGCATTTATTTAAATATCTCCTTTGAAAATTAAAATGTTTAATATTAAACTTTGAACTGTACTCTACTTTTAATGATTCATTTATCACTATACATTCATAATACACTAGTTGCTGAAAGGGTTAAGCATGGATAGGTCACTTTACAAATTAGAAATCTGAATTTACTAAGTGTATCTTCTTGAAATATGGCAAGCATTTAGTAAGCATTATAAATGCTGTGTTCATAAAAATCATAATTTTTAATAAAGTATTTATAGTAGAAATTTGTCTGTGAATTTTTGAAGCCTTTGTTGAGTCAATCTGAGTGCAAATGGTTATCATGCTAAGAATAGTTTACTATTTCATCTGCATATAACCCTATGACCCCAGGTGCACTCTTTCCTCTCAGCACATGCCATAAAGTGTTACTGAGTCAAATTCAAAATTTAATTAAACTACTTTACTATCAATGTATTTTAATGGAATTATTATCAAGTACATTATAGTTCAAAATTTTATATTATCTTAGTTTTATTCCTTTATTTCAAAAGAAACATTGAAAGCAATAATAAAGCTACTTGTTTTGTTGTCACAAGATGTATGAGCTATAAAAAATTTCAAACTTGTACAAGTAGTCTTAAAACTGTAGTCTGCACACTTATGTCTAAATAGAATATATGTTTATCTGCCCTATTGATATCTGTGTTTCAAAGTTTCTTAGCTGAATGCAGTAGAAACAAGTAATAAATTTTGTCAAACCCCTGATGGGTGCCATGCCCACCTTCTATACTTAGCCTTGAGCAGTAAGTACATGTACAAGGTACATGTTTATAATCATTAGAAACAGCTCATTTTACACTATAATCCAACAACAGTTATTTTGAAATTGGCACCAAGTTTTCATCACTAAATAGCTGCAACTGCTTGTACTACTGTTGGCTATTTTGTTCATGATAGCACTTTGGTTGTTTCATACCTAAACATGTTATAGTTAGTGAGACAGTTAAATTTTATTTAGGTTTTACTTTTATACTTTAGTTAACTATGCATTTTTGTGCATTAAAATTCATATTTGAAAGGTTTAATAATTTTCTAAATATATTCTAATGTAATATTTGCTCCACAAGTCTTAAAACACAAAGCACATACAAATTGGATTAACAATTTAAAAAAAATGCAGCTTGAACATAGTTTGATATTTAAAAGAAATACTATTTCATGCCAGTGGTTGTAAGCACTATAAAACTACATCCATTACTTTTCAAATCAAAACAAATAATTTAATTTGATATAATAAAATCTTAACAGAAAAGTTCTTAAAGAATAATAATAAAAGAACACAATATCATGTGTAGCAACAGTGAAAACCACAGTAAATGGAACAGATCAGGGTTCATGTAGGCATTTGTTGACCAGTTTTTTTCTGCCAGAAGACAACGCGAGACTCAAAAGGATGCATGAACATGTCAAAACTAGTTTCTCTGATATCAGACTTCTGACCAGGTCCACACATAAACAAAAGTACACTAAATTTCACTGATTCTCTAATATTATAAGTTAGACTAGAGCCTTGTACTATTATATATTAGAATTATCATTTATATCAGCACCGAATAATGAAATTTAGTACTAGCTTTTTGAAGTTTTTCCATCCTTTCGTTTTAAATTTTGTTTCCATTCCTCAACGCTCGAGATTTGAAATGAGCGCAGGGATCTCTTTATTCTGATTGGACGTATAGTCATGTTTTATTGTTTATACTTTCGAATTTAGCAACCACCTTCTAGGCCTTATCAATATCAGCTGTCAAAGTGTGCTAAGACTATGGTACGACCCAGAACTTGGAATAAAACTTAACATTTATTTCAAAAACTTAATAAAAATACACCGTCAACTTAATCGTTAAAACAAAACAAATCGATAAGGGTTATTTCTAAAATATTTTACTTACAATAGCATCTCGATCCTACTCGTTACCTCCTCTACACTCAAGCTTATCAATAAAGTCACCTCAAACATACGACACAAATCCGCTGGTACCACTGGTTGAGTTAGTCGGTAGATAACTGCGTCAAAAAATAGTGCATAATTAATAACAATATTGTACAAACGTGGACTTGTCCTATAACATAGTACTCAGCAGTTAAGAAGAAATTAAGTAATAATATCTAAATTCAAGAAGAACATAACTATTGCAGAATATTACCGACAAAACAAACAAACGAACAAAATCTGAAACAAACGTCACAAGAGCTGACGTAAATTCTAATTATTATGCACATGCGTGCAAGCTAGTTACTAAAAACAAGCAGAATTTTGCTGCAGAAAGCAATTTGTACTGTAATCTTGGTATCGTCAAGGGCATATTTGAATTACACTTACTGTCTTTGTGTTGGTGCTGGGAAGGAAAACAGATCATGATAGTATTTCTTCCTTGAAATGTTACATTTCAAATGCGTTACAACGCGTAACATAGCAACAGTCCTTTGAAATTTGTTATAAGCTTCCCTATCCTTGATTGTTCAATCTGAACGAGGTATCGCCAAATCAGATCTATCAAACTAAAGGAAAAAGTGTACTGAGTTAAATAAATAACTCGGCCCAACTCATACCTAAGATGAAATTCATTAGCAGTATATATATTTGAGAGAGCACTTATTGTGTAACAATAATATGTAAATATTGATTTCCAGATTTAGCGCTATCTGCTAAACACTTATAGGATTTGAAATATTTCACTAGTGAATATTCTTTATTAACGGATAAAATATCTAGAGGCTATTAAACCGAGATTTGTAATTTAAAACTTATTTATTTGTGAATTATTTACTGCTAATGCCTTGTGTTAGCGAATTTATTAATGTTAGTGTTGTATCTTCCTTAAAATGGAAATCTGTATAAAGTGTTATGACAGCGGAAGTCACGTGATCCTGGGGGTATGCGCGTTGAAATTTCTCGAATGATTATGAAGACCTGAGTGCATTCGAGACGCCCTCTTTTTAGTATATAAGCCTGGCGAGAAAAACCAGCGGAATTGAATAGATAGATAATTGAGTCAAGCGAACAGTAGACACGTAAGTAAAGTGTGTGAATCACTGTGATTTATAACGTGTGTTATAAAGGTTGTTAAGTTTAAAGGGACTGTGGAAATTCTGTGTATTACAAAAAGTTGTGTCGAGAAAAAATAAACTGGTTTAATCAAGAAAGGACTTGTATCACTGAAGTTCCTCAGAAAGAAATTCTACCGGAAATTACCAAACAAGCAGATACGTAACAAAAGTAAAACAAGTTTAGGATGTTAGTGTTACAAATTTCCTTAACTTTATGTACTTCTTGTTCAAGGGTGGGTTAACAATAAAATTACACAAATTTATGTCAACATACATGCTGTTTAAATAGTGTTAAGCCAAGTATGACATTTACGAGTAATCAATATTGTTTTTTAATACTCATAAATTAATTTGTATTGCTCAGTACATTGTTACCCGATGAAGACTCCGGTAAGAGGACCGAAAGCTCGTAAATAAAAGTAGTTTAGAGAACAGTCCGTGTATAAATCTATATAGTAATCAATATTGTTGTAAGTCATATTTCAATGTTTTAGTCTGACTGTTTGCTAGAGGTAGATGCTAACATGATGATGATGCTAGATTTAGAATGTTTATAAAATTAATCCTGGAATACTTAGAATGTTCGTGAATGTTAATGAACAAAAGTTTTTGCGAAATATCAAGAAACAAGGATACATTATAAGTCCGAGAATTAGTATAGCAATGAGTAAATTTCTGTGATTGATAAGTTATTGAAATATTCTGTTTAGTGTCACTTATCGCGTATATTCAGTAATTCCAGTTACTCAATCGATTAACCGTGAAACAGAGCAGCTCACAAGTAAGTTTATTTGTACGTTAGTGGTAGTATCATTAGCGAGTAATTTTCTGTTGAAAGTAAAAACGTTATTTGTGAACTAAAACCTACAACTAAGTGAAAGTAGCCTGTATCAGACTTTTAAGAAAGAAATAAACTAGGGTGTTATTGTTACTTAGGCTGAACTTCGCATTATTTTCACAAAATAATTTTAAATAACTCGCCCGACGATAGAACAGGTCACAACAGTGTTTAATACTGGAGTTATTTGCTAAAAAGCATTAACCTAAATCGAGTGTTAATTTAGGAGGCCTTTATTAAAATATTGTAGAGGGTTTGACACATTAATTATGGTATACAGGATTTTCGTATTTAAAGAATTCTTGATGTATATGTGAATGGGGCATAGTTGGGTAAACAAATTCGTACAGTCTAATACTATAACTGAGCAAATTTTATTATCTGTTTGCTTACCCAGCTTCAGTATCCAGTATTTGATACTACATTCAGTTAAGAAATGTTAAGGCTTTCCACTGTGTTTTCCATTAAAAAATACTAGTTCGATGCGCTTGTAGACAAATGATAAAAAAATCAATGTTTTTGGTTGTTTTTTATTTCCTACAATTGGCGCCCTTAGCAGTCAGTTAAATAACTGCTACACGTGCATACTCTCAATTGGTGATGTTAGATCGACTAACCCAGGGGTTAGTAACCTGAAGTTCTTTAACTCTCTCTCTGTCCAGTTATTGAAATACGAGTTAAATGCATCGTGGCTATCAGTATCCTGCGTTTTTACCGAATTTGAAAGCAAATACCCCTGCTTGTTATTTGTGTTCCCGACCCCTGGGCTAACGGAACCTCGTGTTTATGAAGATTGCGAAGTTTTCGCGAAGTAATACTTGAGCTATGCAGTAACTTAGCTTTTATGCATTAAGTTTCCACTTTTTGGTTATAACTGTGTATATCTTAACAATAAATGATTAAATATACCGTCATTTGGCGCACTTCAACCATTCTCAAGTGACAATTGATGTGTGCAATCGATAAGCAGGCTGTCTTGGATACACAGACTGTGTTCGTCACTAGTCAATGATCTATAAACATAGTAGGGCAAGCACAGTTAACTGTTACTTAAGATTAAATATAAGGTCGTCTGATTCTAGTTTTTCTCCAATGAGAAACATTTCAACAAAACGTGATAAATCAGCATGGAGAAAATATTTGCCGTATAAGCCTGTTTAAGTTTAATTTAGTATAATATGAAGGACTTTCTGACATTATAGAGTAATTAAAAAGTTCAGAGATTAAAGGCCCCGTCAAAAGTAGTAGAATTACCATATGGATATGATCGAAGCTGTTATAGTTCAAAGACTTCAGTTGGTTCACAATAGACGTGGTACGAAAACTGCAGTTGTGTCAAACGTGGATCTTCATCTGTCGTGGTACAAATACTTTAGTTATTACGTGACATGATTATGGATTCACAGTATTATATAGTTCGTTTTACAAAAAATGCAGTTATGTATACTGTAGGTTCACAACAAACGTGGTGCAAAAACTGCTGCTGTTTTGATTGTGCATACACTGTAGTCATGGTACATAATATACTCTGCTTAACCATTTTGTTTTATTTGTCTCATATCACGGTGAATGTTTTCATTTGTCTTGCTTGTTTTGCTGTAACATTTTTTTTTTTGATAGTATAACCGGTTCTTATTATCCTTGCATAATTCATATACGTGCACACTGATGCACGCAGAAAACACGCGTAAACACGAATATGGCTATCTGTTTATATTATTTGTCAACCTAGTCAAGCGGTTAAAGCCTCGAGATTAGCATGCGTTTCAACACAAGTCACAGGATGACTGGACGTCTAACGATAAATACTATGTTGTGAATGGAAATTTGAACGGTTATACCGAGAATCGGCAGAATAAATGTGTGTTATCACTATTTTAGATGTTATGTTAAACCGAATTTATGTTAATTTTATGTTAATCTTAATATTTTATCCACTCTAATTAACCTTGATAAAATTGTTCTACATCTACGACTTCCTTTCCATCTGTTGTCGGTTTATTATAATATCTGATAAAAACAGTAATAATCAGATATGTATGATGTTTGTAATTTGTGTGTGAATATGCTTTATGTCTCATAAAGGTAGGGAATAATATAATGATTATCACCATAAAGAAGTTTTTATTTAATTTTTAATATACATTTACCCAAAACGACAACAATAACGTTGAAGGATTTTAGCTCATGTCATTATTTTTGTATAGGGATAATGTCTTCCAAATCGTGTCCTTCAAACACTTACCAACCTTGGATACAAATTGCTTTGTGTATAAAAACGACTCTTCCACTAACTAGTACATTGTTGTAACAATTTGAAGGTCAAACTTTTTTTTTCACTCTGTTACTTCAGCACTGACGAAAAACTCCTTAAAATAATCACTTAATTTAAAGTGGATCTGTCTATCAGGACCACCGAGAGGGCGGGGAGGCTGGGGATATTTTCCCGAGGATCAGTGCCCACCAGGGGGCCCACAACAGCGGTAAAAATGTGTAAGGAATGTAGAAAATCAGTACAGGACGTTTAAGGAAACACTAAGTTTGTCACAAAAGAAAAGGTATTTGCACAAATACACCTAGTAAATTGGTATCAAAAGCGAATATAGGGATGGGGGGGGGGCAGAATCATTTATTTCCAGTTAAAAAAACAAAACAAGTATAGATACTTTTTTACTGAGTTTGTGAAGCTCTGAAATAAGCAGTAACAATTCTAATAAGTTAATAAAATTTAAACGATATGTCCATTATTATTATCATTAAATCAATAATGGCATATGTATTTTATCAATTAACATAGTAGTTTTTAGTTTGTTTGTTATAAAGCACAAAACTACACAATGGACTATCTCTGCTGTGCTCACCACGGGTATCGTAACCCGATTTTTAGCGTCATAAGCCTTCAGACTTACCGCTCATTACAAGTATATATATATATATAATAAGTTATTAAGCTAGTATTTTGGTCGAAGAATAGAAATGCAATCTGATCTTTATCCAAATTCTTTTTCTCTAATATGGATTCCTTCACTGTTGGTTATGCTCATTATGTGTCATGAAACTGTTCCCCTCTCCTCCCGGTAGGTCAGCGGTAAGTTTACGGACTTACAACTCTAAAATT